TGTGTGTGTGTGTGTGTGTGTGTGTGTGTGTGTGTGTGTGTGTGTGTGTGTGTGTGTGTGTGTGTGTATATAAACTAACTTTCTTGTGCGCGTGTCCGTGTTCGTTCTTAGATATATATATAAATATAATTATGAGCGCTATTGTATCTGGTATATCATATACAATTTCCTATATCGTTTAGCCCACCACGCAACACCCCGGGGCGTATTCCACTTACCGTCCCTCGGCGATGCGTTCTTTGTAGTCGTTAAACTCCAGTTCGAAAGGGTCTGGGTCTGGCGTGAGAATAGGGTATCTCTCTATGATCACTCCGACTGATAATCTTCTTGGGGACACGGTTGAGATGTCAACGTTGGCTTTCTCATCTGACGCATCGGCACTTGAACTATGACGTACAGTTGTACATCTGGCTAACTTTGTGTGCGTGTGTGTATTATGCAATTGGTATTGTTTCCAAGCTGTTAGTGTGTGTGCTTGTCGTGTACACGCTGATGTGTGGGCTTGTCGCAGCAGTCGACCAGATACGTATGAGCTGAGCATCGTGATCGAGGTTTGGGTGATATGAATATCGCCTGGTTCCCTACCCTTATATATTGGTAAGAACACCTGTCTATTGAACAGATCAAGGTTGTTCTAGATATGTATGTGACCTTGACGCTCACTTTGTAGTTCCCTCGGTACCTCTCTCTCTAATATTACCGCCACCCCTTCTGGTGCGCTACTTATTCTAAAGTACCTATTTGAGCTGCTTTGTTTATCAATATATACCCCCAGCAGACTATTTACCACTAGCTCTCTAGTAGCTTTATATACCCCGTGATTGCGCGTGGAATTTAATACACTACACACAACAAATGCAAACCCTCTACTGGGGTAGAGTGCATGAGATATTTGTAAATACATACCGTAGTTGAGGCGGTAGCAGAGTTTGCAACAACAATAGAATAGTTTGCAACGCGTGTATTTTTATACATAAAAAAGCAAGAAGAATTGACGCGGCAAATTATCCGCGAAATTCAATGATACATTGCATAGAGAGAGCGTCTAATCAGTAATAGGCTATTAAAGAGGCTTTATTTATGTGCTTGAGCTTTAGATATTTGATGTGATATTCCGCAACAAGTCAAGTTCGCCTATTAACATTGTCGTACAGATAGTTAACTAATAGATCATGTAGATACTTTCTCTGCATACTATTTAGCTTAGAAGAATACAAGACGTGAGGTGTTCTCGTGATCTCAGTATACTCCCCTCGTTCCTTATTCATTCACCTGAATTCAGCTTTTTGTTTCACATATTGAATAGCAATAGTGAACAGACTTTAGGAGAACCCCAAGATGCGCATCAGTTCATTGTTGAGTTGTTTATCTACGGCTGTGGCAGCAAACATCATTTATCCCACGGCTCAGTGCGACACTATCGAATATGGGAGAAGTCGGCAGTGTCAGGTATGAGATGAATGAAGTGATTAGGAAAAATGTTATACCCCCTAAATGTAAGTCCCAAGTACTTCTCATTCCTGGTGGCACTTCACATGTGAATCCCGATTTATTTCGAATTGATATATGTTCCCGTTGTCTTATATGATTTACTTCACGTGTATGTGTGTTTGTGTGTGTATGTGTGTGTTTGTGTGTGTGTTTGTGTGTGCGCGCTCGCGTGTGTGTGTGTGTATGCGTGTACACGTGTGCGTACATGTAGTATATATATATGTGTGTGTGTCTGTGTCTGCTTCTGTGTCTGTGTCTGTGTCTGTGTCTATGTTTGCTTCTATGTAAGTGTCTGGGTCTGGGTCTGGGTCTGATATATATATATATATATATGTGTGTGTGTGTGTGTGTGTGTATGTATGTCTGTGTCTGTGTCTGTGTGCGTGTGTGTGTGTGTGTTTATAATATATATATATATATATATATATGTATGTATGAATGTATATATATATATATGGATATATATATTTATGTATGTATATATGTGTGTGGATATATATATATATATATATAAATATATATATCCATATACACTAATATGCCTATAATATACATGTGTGCATTATAAATATGTATCCGTACAGATTTGACTTTTTATATATACTGAGAGATTTATCCGTGCGGTTTGGTACTAATTAAACATCTATTTCTAGATGCAGACAACTGTGCACACAAAATCTATACATAAAGCATGTGGACCAAATTCGTTTTTGCACGGTCATTGTGTGTACAACATCAAAATTACAATCTATGACACTATTTTGTGTGGAATTGGTTATGAAAATGACCTGTTGGGGTAGATACTTAGATACAGACGCCCTTTTTTTTTTTCGGTGAATTTTTATGTTGTATCTGATAAGTTTATCAGTAGTATTTTCTCCTTGGTTGGGGACCCGTCATTAGTTTCCATTTTCTGGAGAATGGGGCACGGGCTAACTCTATTCATCTGCATAGTGTGCAGAATTTCGAATGTGCCCGATCACAAACGACTGATATGTTTAAATTTTAGCTGCGAGTACTACTGGAGTACATAATGTCTACAATTGCGGACTGTGTTGCTGCACAATTCAATGATCTGCTTCATCCATATCATATGTATTGTCCGTGTTTTATATGTACCTAATATATGATACTGTGTCTCATCTCATGTTGTAGTCGTTTGCTATCATCTTTTTGCTGTTGACATGCATGAGAGCACTTACTTTCAAATACACTTCACAAAGTGATGTTCTCAGGTTACACAATATAAATCTGTGCACACCCGTCGGCGTATGGAGAGCATGCGTTGTAGAAAAACAAGACCTCTAATCCAATCATGTCTACGCATTATCACAGGCGTCAGATATGCCCATATACAACTCAACCGCAGTCTGGCACCTCGACACACCAAAACTAGCCGATCAGCTCACCAATGCATCTGCGGGACACTTCTCCACACCTTACACGGCTGTTTATGTACACACTGAGTGGTGCCCGTATAGTATACGCAGCTTCCCTGTGATTAAGGACCTGTCACGGGTTTTCCCACATATCCCAGTAGTGGCGATTGACGTGATGGAAGAGAATGCTAGGCGATGGGTTACCGTCGTGGGCGTACCCGCAATCCTTATCTACGATGGTATGTGTTTGAGTCGTTCGTTTCTTTACTTGGGATCGTTTATACGTTACGCAATTATACGCTTGTGTGTGTTTTATCAGTATCAACCGTGTATGCTTATCGTAGCGGACGTTGTTACACTCAATGCCTCATCAGGGGAATCTTCTCGTGCTATGGAGTATTAATCAAGTGCATCCTATGGTTTCACGTGTACGTATACAACCCTCAGGAATATTGACCTCGCTTTCTTCACATCGGTTCCACAGGCATTGAACTCAAAGCAAAATACTCTGGAACGCGTTCTCTACAAAGTCTGACAAAATTTGTACAGAAAAAGGTACATCACACACCACAAAATATCACCGAAACGCCCACGATACCTCCGCCAATGTACACACACAAACCGTCGCTCGAGGGCGTGGATCAGGGAGTGGGATGGGCTCTGTTTGTGATTGTAGCGATACTCGTTCTGCGATGGGTGGGTGATACACCCGAGACCACTATTGAGTGATCGCAATCGCACATTCTGATACATATGCTCGGCGAACGTAAACGTTCCTGTCGAGGACTAATTAGGAGTATGCGTGCTTACATATGGTCGCATGACGTTACCTGGATTCGAACGTCTCTATTAAGATGCAGTGGCGAATATTCCGCCACAGTCGGGTCCCAGTGCAGGAGAACTTACTCTGTTTGATGTAGATATAGTGGTGACCTACCCATAAGGCTCGAATGAGTAGGAGGCAACTTTGTAAAAATCAAACAGCGCGTGCTCCTCTATCTATTCCGTGATGGGTGCCGTTGTTCTTCACATCGACAGCGAAGAGGTTTGTCGGTAACGCAGAGATCATAGACGCCTTAGGTTCTTTGAGAAAGTCATTTGGGTACACCTCGTGAGCCTTGACAGTTATTCCGTCCATGTGACATAGTATTGCGTGCAATTTAAAATTGAGAGCGCCCAGGGTTACGTTACGATACCTTTGAAATACCGGTTGTCGACAGTACAGGCAGTACAGGCTGAGATATTTATGCGCTGACCAGTACGCTCGATGTGTGTGCCGGCTTAAAGATAGCAACGCTCTTGAATCCGGCAAAATCATTTCCCACAGCGTTCGTCGGTACACGAAATTGTACTCTTCATTAAGGATTGTAGGCATTACTGAAGGGTTAGATGTATCTACATAAAGGTGCATCCGGACCTTAAACCCCTAAACGCTGATCAATTGCTGCCCTTATAATTCTTTCCCTGATATTTTTTTTCCGCGGACTTCAAAAAAAAGAAAAACATCCATATCTATTCATTTTTATGGTCCGACCCTGATAAATTGCTGCCCTTATTTCCTTTGCTTGCGGGTTCTTTCCTAAGGACTTCGAAAGACCTGAATAACATCCGATATCTATTTGTATGCCAGGCATTTTTCGCATATGATCGCCAACAGCACAATAATACTACTCATATTCCTAATACTTGAAATTGGGAAGCGGATATCCTACTTAAATGAGGAATACCGGTCTAGAATTTTAGTGGCTGTAGAAATGTTCTACTCTCAAACCAAACACTGAGCTGTTGGTCTGAAAGGGTCTGACTCCTCAAGACATCCCCCTTCTATTCCTTCATATTAAACCCATATTTTGAACCATCGCTCAATTTTGGCTTAAATTACATGTGTAAGGGCTAGCAATAACATTTTTAACGAAAGTCAAATACAACCGCGAATATTTCACCAATGCAACTTATTATATTTTATATATTGGTGTAAATAAAGAGCGACAGTTCGACACCCGTCATGTGTCAAAGTTCAGCGCATATTATATATACGTAAAACAAGTTATCAATGCATTATATGTGCAGATGGTATCTCACCAAGGCTGCATAGATGACTGCTGCACTAGTATTTTTACCCATACCTGTGAACAAATATGGTGTTCGACAGATTAAGGAATAATGTATAGAAAATCATGAGTCGGGTAGTGGTACGAACGATTAAGCCGAGGAAGCATTAGATTCGTCAACGATAAGTGATGTACCGCTTGCAATCACATCCGAACAGATAAACCAGAACTTGTGCGTGTATGGCACCACATTCTGAAAGAAGTCTTACATTTGATAAATCCGCTCCTAGTTCAAAAAATCATGAGTACTACTGTGAATTCTGGACATTGTTCAGAGATGTCTTTTCATTGATCACACTGAAGACCGTATATTAATAAACAGAGTAGTAGAGGAACGTGGCCATCATTATAATTATTACGATAGGATAACACACAAACGACAATTCATTAGTATGAGAGTGCGACGGATAATTCCATGTCCTAGATTGCTGTAGAACCGCGTAACTAAGGTGTTTGAAGCAATGAGAAACAAAATGAGCTCACGTTCTGGCTCAAAGCTGTTTAATGTTAAAACTCGCGAGCAAGATCAAACTTGACCATATCAGGGACAGTTATGAATCTGATTCACCTAATATTAGACTCTATTGTAGTGGCACAAAGGACAGTGACGAATTGCGCTTATGAAACTGTTATCATGCACCTAACAAAGTTGATCAATTTAGTAGTACATGAAACAATATCTGGAAATTCGGACACCTATCACTAGTAGTACACTCGTTAGTAATGATATGGTATACATGCGTCGTATGCCCGATTAAAAACAAGATATAAAGTACAATGGTACCCTACGACACACAATTTGTAGATAAGAGTGTCATGAATTTAGATCTGACTAGTGAGAGCGTAATGGGATGTTTGTATCCACGACCCGATGACTTTGTAGCGACGAAAAAGTGTTTTGGTATTGTACCAATACGGCTTCTATTTGAAGAAAGCCTGCTATCCCCACTAGAAGAGTCATTACAAAATATTCCTGGACCAAAGATATACGAATAGGAGTACACTGACAAAGCGCAGGAACTTTCTTTCATGCCTATGTTGCGACATACCACTCCCAGTGGGTTCGCGATTCAAGGAGAGCTTGATTCACTTCAAGTAGACCTTCTGTGCTTGTGCCGTATTAGCCGAGATTGTCATGCGCTCAAATGTTTGTTTCGTTGTCATCACGTAACAATATTTGTGTAGATGCTTCACGTCGCTGTGTAAATTAACGCTCTGTATGTTTAATTACATTTATACCAACCATCACAGCCAACACGATAAGCGCTTTTTCACGCATCTGAACAGCCTTGTCAACCACAACTGTAGCCTCGGCCACAAAAGCCTCCGACACTTATTCGCAGGCCTATGAATAGCAGAATTTCAACAAAGAATCAATACATGTTAATAGAGTGTAATGTGGATGACTATAAGTAAAGTACAAATGCATCTAAAGTATGGCGCGTTCGAATGAATTTATCTATGATCTCACCCTCAGTTATATACTGATGGTGCTTGTACTAGTGTTCAACAACTTGGGTTGGCCACGGTAAAAACTTATAAGATCAGTATGAGAAACCTTATGCAGATCACTTTAGTACTCTGATAAATTTCTAGAAATATATATATATCACATTCTCTGTTACGTACTCTCAGTCTCGGACCTCGGCTCTCGGCTAGCCGATGGCCCGTGTCCTATAAATACTTTATAGAATAATCTGAGAAGAAGTCATAAATAACTCTTACGTTCTCTCGGGCTGACCCACCTATACATATATTAATTGGAAAACAAGTCCCAAGTTACTTTCGGGCTGATGGCGTAAAACGTTCTCAACGTATTTAGAAATACTTACACTCCTGTAGTCTCTTAATACAAATCACTCTTACCAACAAACACTTATGCACACACAACCCAACGGCAACAAGGCAATTTCATACATCAACCCGCACATTCTTGTTAGGCTATCATCTTCCATGCGAATTAACAGTAAGAACCTCAATTGCCCCAGCTTCGAATCGAACAGCAAAATCCATCACAACAGCTTAGCTGTACGACAAGTGGCGAAAAAATGGAGGAAGGAAAGCAGATTCAACGACTAAGTTGTGATGGATTTTATGCAGATATACGTAAACATAAACAATAATAAATTTTCTTCGTTTTTCAATGAATTGCAATTTTAATTACGATAAGAACTATCATCAAATCTAGACACCTGCTGTGTCAGCCGTACATACGTGAGTGTTGTAAAATTGCAACCGATTCGGATCAGGGACTGATTGTCACATGCGTCGTAGATTTTACTTTTATCCTTAGTAATTTTCTGCACTCATACTATTTTTGTGCGTGTGTAGAAAAACGGCCTTCGGTCAGTCTATAATATCAAGATCAAATGAGATATTAAGGTTTCTCCAATAAATCCAAAGTGTTCTAAATTCACTTTGATGGCTTATATAGCCTTAGTGGTTGGTATGACTCATATACTTGGCTCTGTTTAAAACAATAGTTGATGTAGGAAATGACATACTAAATTATATAACTTCTGAGCTATATACTACTTATCGTTTTGGTCCTCCTGCCAAATTCCAAAATCCAATATAGTGTTTTTCTTAGATATTTTTTATAAATTTTCTTCAGAAGGACCTTTACTCATATTTGCTAATGTAATAACTTGGTTTGCATGCTTTCACCGATCTACGATGAGTCCATGTGAGCTATGCACCTTAAGTACTTCTACGGAAAAAATATCAATTAAGATTGTACAGGTACATTCTGTGTGATCATGAAGTTTTAAGACTCTTGCCAAGCAGCAACCGCGACCATTTTTGTACAATGTTTCACTGCTCATTCCTAATAAACTTAATTAGTCGTATTATTATTCTAATATAGTAATACTAATACTATTATCTCTGACGCTTATACGTGTGTAAACCCTATATCCTAAATTTCGACTCGGAGTGCTGTCAGTCTCATTGTTATACAATCATTTTGCACCTTGTCGTATCATACTTGTCGTCGTCGACAGGAATACCCTCCTCATTGTCAGGTAGTATTATATTCCTTAATGTCGTGGCCATTCCTTAATAGTAGAGCATTTCAGGTACATAAACAGTCATCGATACATAAAGTTGAAAGCCCCTTATTTCTACAGAGCAAGTAATATGTTTTCCGCAGGTACGAATTGGTCTTCTCTATGTACTTCATTTCCTTAACGAATGTATTCATCTACCGACATGTTTAAACCATAAATCCAAACCTCGACGAAAACTACTTTATTCGTGTCTTATTTTGCCCCTTGATATCAAACTGTAGAAATGTGATTAAAACGGTGGTTTAGTACTGCTACCTAAAGGCAAGTGTAGACGAATAATTAAAAGGACTGTATCAAATCTGAGTACTTAAATTAGCGCATGCGATATTGTTTGATTCACCAAATTGACTTGGGGGGTACTTAGTATTGGAAGGTCACATAGTTTATATCGAGTGGAGATGACTTTGTATACATATATCGGGCATACATATAGCGGTGGCAATAAACGAACCGGCAGACCACTAGTGTGTATTTAGGTACTGATCTGGAAGTGACTGATCGTTATCGCAAAGCAATGGCGCTGCACGCTTCTCCAAAAACCCATCGTTGATGGTAGCCGTTCAAACTACCCACTATATTGTGTACAGCTGCCTTTCTCACACATCTCGCAATGATATTTATATTAGCCTTTTTTAACTGCTATACTAGAGATATTTTTGTATAGAATTTGTGATATAATCCTGCTCAAGGCTATTTGACAGTAATTCATAGTGAGCCATAGTATCTACTGTAGTGGATCAGGTAAATATGTATCTGAACCAGCCAACCTACCAACCAACCTAGTATTAGGTTGGTTGGTTCAGTTATTTGCCTAATCCACAATACTACGAATGTACTATGGCTCTTGACTATAAGGGTGCGCTTTGAGATGTGATTTTCTTGAATATCAAAAGCGCGGTTGACTGTTTGCTTGTTTTCGTTCATGAAGTATATGTCTACCACTACTGGCAAACATCATCCTCAGTATTGTTCGACACCACTGAAATGTGAGCAAATATTATTGAGTGTGCAATTGCTCAAGGTATGTTGTACAATAATAATGACATGCAGCAATTACTACTGCAGTATATTCGTGTGATGGTCGTTTTTGTAATATTGCGTTGTGTGCGAGATGCATCAATTATGACTAGTTTCAATTACTATTGCTCTAAATTCGTGTGATGACTGTGTGTGCGTTGTCATAATTATGCCAAATATAAATTACTGTTGCTAAAATGTTGAGTGATGGCTGTGTGTATGTGATGCAACAAATGACTAGTGGCAATTACTGTTGCTGTCTAGTTCTCTTGACTGTGTGTGTGATGCAAGTACTACGACCTGTGTTGCTATATATGAATGCGTTGGCGTGTACCTGTCATGTAATGTTGTATA